AATAAAATAATAAATATGAATAATAAAAAATAAAATGAACAAATAAGTAAAAAAATAATAAAATAAATAAAGTACATAAAATAAATAAAATAAATAAAATAAATAAAATAAATAAAATAAATAAAAGAAATAAAGTAAATAAAATAAATAAAATAAATAAAATATGTAAAATAAATAAAATAAATTAATAAAATACATAAATAAAATAAGTAAATAAAATAAGTAAATAAAATAAATAAAATAAATAAAGTAAATAAATAAATACAATAAATAAATAAAATAAATAAATGAAATAAAAAATTAAATCAAAAATAAAATAAAGAATGAAAAATGATATGTAAATAAAATAATATAAGAAATAATGCTAAACTAAAATAAAATGTAAATAAAATAAAATCAAAATAAAATACAATAAACAGAAATTCAATTAATTAAAATAATATAAAAATAACTTCTTTGCTGTTCACTATTTTTCGAAACCTTTCTGAAAAAAAACAGTATAATTACAAAAAATTATACAACAAAAAAACAAAAATAAAATACAAAAAAAAATACAATAAAATAAAAAGAAATAAATTGAAACAAAAAAATAAAATAAAAAAAATTAGTTTAAAAAAAAACAAAAATAAAATACTAAAAAATAAAAAGTCAATAAAATAAAATTATATCAAAATTAAATAATTAATGTAAAAGAATTTTGAATAAATGAAGATTCTTTTAAAAATATTTCCGTTTGTTTTCGCAGTCCTTATATATATTAGAAAAACTAGTTTAAGAATATATTTTAAATATGTGAAATCATTAATATTCGAAAATCTTTTGAAAGTCCGTTATTTTTAATTCTTTATTTTTAGTATTAAATAGTATTTATGGTATATAAAAAGGCATACCTTGTAAAAAATATAAATTATCCGCAAACAGAATTAAAACAGTATCGTCGGCATTGAAATATTTTTAGAAATTATAGCTTCATGTTCTTTTGAAAAAAAATTATATTTTTAATATTATTGTTTCAAGACAAATTATACTGATTTTAT